AGAGAGAGAGAGAGAGAGAGAGAGAGAGAGAGAGAGAGAGAGAGAGAGAGAGAGAGACTGACTGCACACACTACAATGACTACCCGATCCTCGACACTACGCAAGCAGAACTGCCGGAGACGCGCTCAATAACACCTCCCCTCCCCCTCTGCGTATACTGCGGACAGCCCTCCCCCACTACGTGAAATGCGGACGCCCCCACCCACTGCGTGTACTGCGGACACCTATCCCCTACTACGTGAAATGCGGACGCCCCTCCCCTTCTAAGTTTACTGCGGACACCCCTCCCCCTCTGCGTGTACTGTGGACATCCCTACCCCTCTGCATGTAATAGGCACACCCCTCCGCCTCCGCGTGTAATGCGGACGCCCCTCCCCCTCTGCATGTAATAAGCACACCCCTCCGCCTCTGCGTGAAATGCGGACACCCCTCCCCTTCTACGTGTACTGCGGACACCACCCCTCTGCATGTAATAAGCACACCCCACCGCCTCTACGTGTACTGCGGACACTCCTCCCCCTCTGCATGTAATAGGCACACCCCTCCGCCTCAGCGTGAAATGCGGACACCCCTCCACTTCTACGTGTACTGCGGACACCCCTCCCCCTCTGCATGTAATAAGCACACCCCACCGCCTCTACGTGCACTGCGGACACCCCTCCCCCTCTGCATGTAATAGACGCACCCCTCCGCCTCTCGTGTAACGAGCATGCCCCCACCCCCCTGCGTGTACTACCTCCCCCCATCCACTGCGTGTAATGTATAAAGACACAAGAGCACGCCCTACGGCGAGCATGGAAATTTATGCGGGGAAAACGACGTGCCTTCTCTGCCATCGTCGCTGGCAGCAACAAGCGGAGAGTAATGATGATCCGAGGCATCCATCGACGGCAACAGCGCGCCCCTACCGGCCTCCGCTGGTCGCCACTGCTAGCGCTGCGGCAGTGTCTGGCCTACATCCCGTCCACGCTAAGCACGCTCAGCTGGCTATACTATACATGTACGTCCGCGCACGAATGCACGCACGCAAGCGCGGTCGACCAGGGGGGAGGTGGACGTAATTTGAATAATACGACCTGAGAAGATTTCAGCCCACCGGCATGCGTGGACCAGCAGCGCCTAAAGCCCGCTGCCGCCGCGCACACAGCGCGCGTCTGCGACAGTCCCTGTAATTTGCTTCCACGTGATTGATCCACCGTAGATGCCTGGTGCCGCATCGCCCATTGCCAGCACTGAGTTACTGCAAGGAAGGGGGAGGAGGAGGAGGAGGCGGCGGCTAAGCCTTAACCGGGCGCCAGACGAGAGAGGCGAGTCGTAGCGGGGGCCATTCATCTCCCGGCTGAATGACAGCGGCCGAATGTCCTACTCGCCGGTCACTCGCTGGACAATGGTGCGAATCGGCGAGCGAAAAGTGTTAAGCCGGCGCAAACACAGGAGCACATTTGTGATCACAAAGGTTCGCTACCTGTGTAGCCAGCAATTCACCGCGCGCAACGCTGCGGCACACTGTAGCCGTAATATGAGAGTCGCGACGATCCGTCGCTGGCGTACGCTTCAACGTGGACGGGGAGGAAGGAGGAAAATGATGGGCCAACCAGTTTCCCGACGAGACGCCTAGACTGGGACTACGTCCGCTAACTTGCGATGACTGACTGCACTCATCAAACGCATTGGTAGGAGGATCAAGTCTGCCCTCTTCGACACTCACACTACATGACAGTGTGCGTGATTGCACGCATGCGTGCATGTGTGCGCGCGTGCACGAGTGCGCGCATGTGGGTTGGCCGAGCAGTTGATCTTACTGCTACTGACTTGACTAACTCGCAAGACAACACCTTAACAATGGTTGCGATGGTCTGCCTTATAAGTTGGCGGTTGCCGTTCCCGCGTCGTGATAGAATTCCTGTCTGCTAATTATTCACAACTGATAATATGTCTCGGTCTTTCCGGTTGTAGGATATAGGCGTGTATTTGTGCAAGCAAATCGCTCGAACACTGTAGTGTGACGACCAGCATGCGCTTAGAAATAAAAACAGCGAACTTGCTGGTAGTACTGTGCCATCAGCCGTTGTCTAGCACAGCCGTCATGGCGATGCGTTAGAGGACCAGCATGGTGCGCGATATCCTACCCACAGTGAACGCAAAATAATAATAGCCTACCCACATCTGATCACGGACGACGGCAAACCAGACGCGAAGTATTAACATCATATCATCAAGAGTACATAGTAGAGACTTCTCTAAGAGAGACTTCTATAAGAGACTTCTCTATTATGTAATCTTGATATCATCTACACCGGCGACGATAGGCTGGCCAGTCGACATCCTCCTCCTCCGACTCTACCGCGCCGAGAACGGCAATAATGTCCAGAACTACGGCAATAATTTGTTCTTGGAAGAGGAGTGGGGGCAGAGGTGCGTGCGCAGAGAAGATCACTGACAATTCTTCGCGGAAGAGGACCGGGGGGAGACGCGCATGCGACGTTAGTCACTCCTAGCGCAGCATCACTGCTAGCTTCGTCATCATCATAAGCAAGCAAAAAAAATCGGCGTTGCGCGCCTGGCAATCAATAATCCGCTGACCTGTATTCAGGTTGCCCCTCAAATACCCTCTAAGAATACCTATAGCGGGTGACGATTGACAAACGCCACCGAATGTACGCGGACGCGCTCTTGACGGTGGTTTCGGCAAATATTGTAAAACCATGCGAGCACGCGTGTTGCCAAATGCACAGAGAGACTCGCATGATCATGACAGCATTATTATCAATGGTGAGCGCACGGGCTCGGTAGGACGCGTATAGAACGCGTGCTCTCCCACCAGAGAATCCGTTGGGGAGAGAGAGAGAAAGAGAGAGAGAGAAAGCGAGAGAGCGAGAAAGAGAGGAGAGAGAGAGAGAGAGAGAGAGAGAAGAGAGAAGAGAGAGAGAGAGAGAAGAGAGAAGAAGAGAGAGAGAGAGAGAGAGAGAGAGAGAGAGAGAGAGAGAGAGAGAGAGCGTGAGAGAGAGAGA